GTTTCAATCGCACTGTACATGCGCGCCCGCACATGGTATTTTGTAGAAGAGCCACACTCAAGGGGCCAAAGAGCCGCATGTGGCTCGCGAGCCACAGTTTGCCGACCACTGCTCTAGAAAGTGAGGAATATTGCTGCCAGCACACTCACACTGGCAGTGTCCTTATTTTTGCTCTGGAAATGACAAGGTCAGTGGTGGAGCATACTGGAAAGAGAAAGAGGATTCCAAGCAATAAGGGAGTGGGGCACAACAGACAAGTGATGATGTACCTATTTATATGCACCACTGATCACGTGCCTCACTTCAGGCATCTGTGTGCTCATTTGCACAATGTGCTGGGGAAAGATACACAATGAGTAGGACTGCCCTAGTGGGGAGTTCTGAAGAGCAGCAGTGCCTCAGAAGTCCGGGCTTTGGGAGGACAGATCGCATCATAGAGAATTCTATGTCAGAGAATCCCATGTTAGAGAATTCTAGGAGAAGAAGTAATCCTGTTTGTGAGGGGAGATCAAAGTGGCTTCTGGACTGGGCTTTGGGAAATGGCATTCCGTGAACAGGAAAAGAAATTTGGGTTATAGGATTTCATGAGCAAAAAAACATGAGAGCCAGGATGTTCAGGGCATTTTAGCAAAAGAGCAGAGTCTAGTTTTGTCGAAGTAAATACAGTGCATGAAGGAGAACAATGAAATAACTGTAAAAATAAAACTTTATGTGCATATTAGAAGGAATCTTAGTGGTAATCGCTTCTAACCCTCCTGTCTTACAATCGAAGAAACAGGCTGGTCTAAAATCAGGTGATGGGAAACTTTGAATAGAATTCATATATTAAATAAATATGTATTAGATGGATATGAGAAGGCCCAGCAACACTGGGCAGCGTACCTCCCTTTATGACAGGCTCCATAGACAATGGCCCACTGAGTTTCTGTACTCTGGCATCAGTATTGTGATGAACGGTTTGTTATTCCCCTTTAAGACAGCAGAAGCCAGTGGTTGCAGAAGCATAAGTAAATCAACAATGTGCCTTAACCCCTTCCCCCCGCCCCAGCTTGTGATACTCACAGATATGTGGGCCCCTAGTCTGGACTCCTCTACCACTTCCTGTTCCTCACAGATACTCCTCATATGAAGTGTTTCATAGAATGTTCATGTGTTCTCCCCTAATGGCTCTGTCATTAAAAAAAAAAAAAAAAAAAAAAAAAACCTTTGAAAATAACATGCATCATATTACCTTCTTTAAGATTTACTTGGAACTTAGCATATTTAAGGCTTTGAGAAATTCTAAATCTATTTAACTTTTTAAAAAAAAAACAAACCCAGTATCCCAAATTTATTTCATAGTTGAACTTTTTTCATGAAATACCACTAACATCTTGAGGAACACTAGTGTTTAATAGATTCATTTTGAGAAATGTTTCCAGAACATGTACATTTTGTGTAACTTTAACTCTTAGCTGTTTATGTTGTAAGCTATTTTTCCCGTGAGAAAATACCAAGTTTTCCTGCTCTTTCTAGTAATTTCCTTTAGCTATTGAAACCAGAAAAGGCTGGGGCCCCCAATACTACGAAATCCTCTTCTGTGGGCAGTGACAAACACTGAAGCCGTTAAAGCTAAGACAGTGTAAGATGGGGTCTGGGTATTAAGGAGAACTGCTGGCAGTGGTGTGTCAGGTGGATTAAGGCTAAAGCTGTTAGAGCAGGATTTTAGACAAGATATAAGACCAGTATTTGGAGCTGTCCCACTGAAAGTGGAATGTATGGGACATACGTAAGGAAAACAACAGAGGTAGGTGTTTGAAGCTGATTGGCTAGAGCAGTGGTCGGCAAACTGGCTCCTTGAGTGTGGCTCTTCCACAAAATACCACATGCGGGCGCACACGTACATTGTGATTTAAACTTCGTGGCCCATGCCACGGGGCCAAAGAGCCACATGTGGCTCACGAGCCACGGTTTGCTGACCACTAGGCTAGAGGAAAGTTAGTTGTTGGATGATGGCAGGCTCTGCCCATGTGCCCTCAGGCCTCAGCTGTAATTGCGCTAGACAGTAAATTGGCCTTCATTCAGAACACTTCAGGAGAGGTGACTGATTCCGCAGTAACTATCTGCATCTTGATGTGGTATAGGAAATCCTTCATTCAAGTTTTCTTGAGTCTTAACTTGGGATTGCGCCTGCTCCAGTTAAGCTCTTTTCTAGTCCTGTGAAGGAGGAGATAAGCAGGATAGCAGGCTTTTTACAGTATCCTTAAAAATTGCATTTATGCCCCTCTTCACTCTTTCTATGGAGTCAAGGGACCGTTATGCTAATAAATACGAATGCATGAGAAGTGTACACTTTCTTCATGAGGATCTTGGGTACTTATCACTCTTTAGCAGATGCCTGCAGAAACTATGCCACTGACTAGGCTTTCTTTTTTTTTCTTTAAAGCATCTTGGTAAAGGAAAGTTACAATATTTTCAGCTGAAAGGGATGCCAGTATATAAGACTTATGTATCTTACCAGTTTTATTCCAGTGATTTTTATTTTTAATTTAACAAGGTAATTGCTATCTTTGATCTAATTGTCTATGTATAATTGGAAATGTCTTAGGATAGTGGTTCTGCAGATGCGTCTGGGTCCCCTTTGATGATCTGATGAGAGCTGTGGACCTTCTTCCTCGGAAAAGGGACTAGGGAATTCACGTCCATTTTTATGTGTAATTTCATGGATGCCAGCCTATGGCTTTGTTCTTCTATTTCTATTGACAGTTTTTATTTTTTGTCAGTACGGCTTCTTTATAAGCAAATCCCTTATTCATTCAACAAGTATTTTTATGCACTTACCTTTAGCCAGACCTAGGTACTGCATTGAACAAGACAAACAACGCCCTGACCGGTTTGGCTCAGTGGCTAGAGAGCCTCGGCCTGTGGACTGAAGAGTCCCAGGTTCAATTCCGGTCAAGGGCATGTACCTTGGTTGCGGGCACATCCCCAGTAGGGGGTGTGCAGGAGGCAGCTGATCAATGTTTCTCTCTCATCGATGTTTCTAACTCTCTATCCCTCTACCTTCCTCTCTGTAAAAAATCAATAAAATATTTTTTTTTTAAAAAAAGACAAACAAGGAACTTGCCCACATGGAACAGTAAACAAATACTGCATTCCAAAGTTATTGAAAACTATCTTAATTTTATATGCTATACGGGAAAAATAAGTTAGTGAAAAAGTATTTGTGAGGTTATTTTGTGTAAGGTGGATTAGTATACAGGGTGGAGTAAAAGTAGGTGTATGTGAGTATGTGAAACCATTTATACCTGCATTATTTATTAATTATTGTATTATTTTCCATATGGGCAACTATAAACCTACTTTTGCCCCACTCTGTATCTGCTAAAACTAACTGGGAACCTTGTAGGTAAGAAATAAAACATAATTCTGTAGAGCTTTTTAAATATAAAGTCAAAATATTAGAATTATAAGAGATGATGTAATATTCACACCTTGTTGCACAAATGGACAAATAAAGCATAGAGGTGGGGCTGGGTGAGAGCTGGGCCGGTTCTCTGCCCCTGGCTGGCCCTCTGAGTTGGTCTGTGTGCTTGTGCCAGGCTCCTCAGTTCCTGAGGACCTTAACCCAACTGCAGCCCAGCAACCTGAGCTGCTGCACCACCACGTCCTGTTTCTGTTCTCATATCTGACTCCCAAGGCCCTTTCACAAGAGACACTGTTCAACTTTGTTTTAAGATTGAGATTAATATGCAATTAACTCCTTCTACTCTTGAGGAAATATGTCAGATACTCACTGGAAAATGTGCAAATGCATCTGATCTGATGCTGTTGAAAATGGTAAGAATGACTTGTGTTTTGCTAAAATGGAGCAAAGGAGCAGGCAGAGCATACAATTTTGAATCATTTACCCTTCACCAGCCATTTGCTGAACAGATTACAAAACTGTGGTGGGAAATGCTCTGTAGTCACATTGTGAAACTTGGTTTGATGTTCTTCTCATTTTAATTCTGAGGGTTGAGACCTTTGAGACAGCAACAGTACGAAGTCAGATAGGCTCTTGGTATCCTTCCTTTTTTTTCCTACCTTTCATTCCATAATGCTTGAGTGCTTCCCATGTGTTGGCACTAGGGACACAGTGATAGCCAAAGCGAAATGGTCCCTGCTCTTATGGGGCTTATGGTCTAGTGGGGAAGGTAGACATTAATAAAATTATTTTGGTGGCCACATACTTAAAACCTGAAGTAAGGTCTATAAAGAAAAGGAAAGGAAAATATTTCTACAACACATATAACAAAGGACCCCAAAGGCCACAGTGCTTCCCTGTGGAAATGGTGCTTAGCTGAGAACTGAAGAATGGGACATGATAACAGCAGTACAGAAAGAAGAAAGAATGCAAGTGTATGGCAGTGAAGACTCAAAGAAGCGGACAAATAGCTGGGAGATAGGTCTTGAGGATGTGGATATGGGGGGAGATGCAGAGTGAGGTCCCCAGGATAAACCCCAGGTTTTTGGCTTGTGCAACCAAATGGACCTTGGCACCATCCACAAGGAGAACGTCAGGTGTGGGGCAGAGAGATTATAAGATGAGGTTGAGGCCTTTGAGACAGCAACAGTACGAAGTCAAATAGGATGTTGGTTATACGGGTCTAGAACTCATGAAAGGTCTGAATCAGAGATTAAAGTGCACGTCACTGATGATTACTCTTTACTTGACATGCACAAGCAGAGTATTAATAGGAATGGGAATTCTTTGAGATCCCTTTCTAATGAGTGCAATAAAAGATGCCAGATTACTCCTCTTTTCTGTAGCAAAAGCTAATCTTTAGTAAATATGGATTTACCTATATGTTTTTGTTAAATCTTTGTTTATAATCCATTGCAGTGCTTTTCTAGTGAGTGTATCAGTTTTTACATATTATATTATTTTTAAGAGAGAAAAAAGATGTTTTAGTGAACTTGAGACATGTTAATCATATGTTAAAATAATAGACTTTTAAAAAATGTTTTTCTCCCTCTAGATTTGATGTTGAATTTGTTCTCTCAAAACCTACTTCTGAATGGAATGGGAAAAAGGGACACATTTCATTAGATCTTCTTTCTGAATTTTTGAAAAGAAGCTTAGACAAATCCAAAGTTCTCATCTGCATTTGTGGACCAATGCCATTTACAGAACAAGGAATGAGGTTAGTAGCAATGTGGTAGAAGAAACAACCCTTACGCATGTGAAGTGCTTAGCACAGTGACTACATACAGTAAGTATTAAATAAATGTTTATTGTGTTCAGGAACGTTTTAAACAGCCATTTCTAAGATATCAGTCTCCATTTATAGTGTTTTCCAAGTTGAATTACCCGTAAGCAGTATTTCTACTTTTTCGGTTCAGTGGAGAGAGTAAAGATAGAATGCTGTGGGGATTAACTCCTTACTTTGAAAACTGGTGAATAAAGGAGGAAAAAAATTAAGCATTATGTTGCCTTTTCTATATGAGCTGTACTACAGGGTAACCACATAATAAATGAGAAGTTTTTTCTTTACAGAATTCCTCAGCTTATAAATGAAGAAAGAATGATAGAAGTAGAATATCACTAATTTCAGATCCTAATGAACTACTAATGGATAGACCATAAATCATGGACAACTGTTAGCATCCCAAAGGAGAGGCAGTCAGGTATTATGTGCCTCCTAATGGGAGAATACTACCTATGAAATAGTCTTGTCAAAAAGAATTTGACCTGACCTAGCCTGTAGATCCAGTTATTAAGTTATGGACAATAAGAGGATATAAGTTCATATTATTAACATTTATCACAGCGATGCAGCAAAATGAGGACTGTGGGTGACTCAGTGCATAAAGATCTGAATTTTGTTGGATAAACTGCAGTACACACACAGAGAGAGAGAGGGAGATGGAAGAGAATCTTATTAAAAGACTAGAGGCCTGATGCATGAATTCATGCACCAGTTGGGTCCTGGCCCGCGGGATCGGGTGAAATCGGTTCTCCAACATCCCCCGAGGGGTCCCAGATTGCGAGAGGGCACAGGCCAGGCCATGGGACCCCACCAGTGCACAATCGGGACCGGGGAGAGACCTGGGAGGTTGGCTAGCCAGGGAGGGACTGTGGGAGGGCTCCATGCTGTGTCTGGCTCGTCTCAGTCCTGATCGGCAGGACCCCAGCAGCAAGCTAGCCTACTGGTTGGAGCATCTACCCCCTGGTGGTCAGTGCATGTCATAATGAGCAGTTGAGCGGCCTTGGCATATCATTAGCATATTATGCTTTGATTGGTTGAATGGCTGACTGGTCAACTGTACACTTAGCATATTAGGCTTTTATTATATAGGATTTTATCAGCTAATCATAACGAGTAGACTTTAAATGGATCTTGATTCAAATAAACTTTTAAAAATTATGGCACTTATGAGACAATGGAACACTAGATATTTGGTAATATTAAAGAATTATTGTTAATTTTTTAGAAGTGATAATTGTGGGTTGTTGTTTCTTTTTTACAGGACATAGTAAATGGGGAAAATGAAAAAGTACTATGCTTATGATGCTAAACTTTGCTGTTACTTCTTTACTTTCCCTAAGAGACTTGTGCTTTGTATTTGTTTTTCAGGATGCTGCATGATCTTAACTTTTCCAAAGATGAGATCCATGGTTTTACTGCATAATGAAGAGCTGTTGTCTTTTATTCAACTGTTTTATCTAAATTTGTGATGGCTTAGGGTTTTTTTAAGACAACATTTTTGTATATACTAAGAGGTTAACCGGACTCCAGGCTTGTTTCTTAAATGAAATCAAATGTTCCGTCACTATGGAAAACCTGTTGACTTTATTTTATACCATAACTTATTTTACTACTGATATTTGACCTGGAAAGTCAATCATGACAACAAACACATACAGGTTGTTTGTTATGAGTCACAAGGTTTCTTACCGTTTAAATTGTCTCACTGTTCTACGATGAGCTCTTGTGTTTTATGACATGATAAAGTAAATGATCATTTGGATCATGTTTCTATGCTGTAAAATGTCTTAGCAATACAGACTAAATTTTACATTGCACTGTTAACTCAGGAAATGATCATTTATGTTATTGTTATTATTAAAACATGGAATGATATACCTTATTAAGTGATCTAAGCAATTTGTGTGTGTGTGTGTGTGTGTGTGTGGCATTGATACAAAGTAGAATAAAAATATACTTAAGTACTTTTTAATCTTTAACCTAGAAATGTGTTTGAATGCAACAATATTGGGCCCGTGTCTAAGGGAAATTTTAAAAGGCAACAATAAAAGATCCTGGAGATGCTTAAGTCGGGTGTGGTGGAAAATTTAAAAGAACTTGGCAGCTAGTTTTATTCTCAGCCCAAGCCAGAGACTTTGGGAAAGAGAACGAAGATGTCACTTCTGGTCCCATGGCCTAATCCTTTGGTGCTATGGAATGGGGTAAATGTAATTGTTGCTGAGCCCATCCAGACCAGCTGCGAAAGTGAAGAACACAGCCAGCTGCTTCCCCACAGCTGGCAGTCGGCAGGGAGCCCCCCTCCGTTTCATGCTGGACACTTACTCTCCCTCCCTGCTGCTGTGCGCGCAGCTTCAAATGCCTTCCCAGGTTGGGATGCAGACAGGCTCTCAAGACAAGTCTTTGTGCATTTTCATGAGGAAACTGTTGAATGCAAAGGTGACTGTTGCAAAGCTAATAGATTCTTCAGTCTCGTTTAAGATAACGGCAATGTTTTCACAGAAATAGGGCGATGGGAGGGTCTCCAATTTCCCTGCAAATGATTTTGCAATAGCTCAATCGTCACTGAATGAGCAATGCACCCAAGTGGAACCCAGCATTAATATTCCTCAAATTGCTAACACCAGCTTATGAAACTCGTTGTGTACCAGTGGCTGGTTGAACACTGTCATCATTTCCTGTGCCTCCCTCTTATTTTTTTTATTTATTGGATTTATTGGGGTGACATTGGTTAATAAAATTACATAGGATTCTATAATACATCATCTGTATATTATAATGTGTGTTCACCACCCAAAGTCTAGTCTTCTTCTATCACCATTATCTCCTCTCTACCCCTCTCTACCACCCTTCACCCCCTTTCCCTTCCCCACCCCCCTTTCCCTCTGGTACTCACCATGCTGTTGTGTGTCTATGGGTGGCCAGTCCTACCCACATCACCATTTGCCCAGGCAGGATCTAGTTGTCCTGGGACAGCAGTGCTCCTTGCTGGCTAACCGGAACATTCTCTAGCTTCACACCTCCCTACTGCCTCCTCCTTCTCCTCTAAGAGGGATCATGTACTTTCTGGACTGTTTCTCATCTTTTCTAACTCCTTCCTTTTTTTCTCTCTCCTTCAATCCTTTTCTAATTACCTCATGCAAACGAAATCTCCTCTCTGTTACTTCCTATATGTATCTCTTCTTCATTCCTTTTCTTATTATATTTTAAAGTAAAAGAAAACCCATAAGCATCTTCTGGGTTATCTCTTGCACTCACATGACTTTATCAATCTATATGTTAATAATCTCCAAATTGAGAATCAGCTGAGCGTCAGTTTCCAGTACCCACTTACCTGCTAGATACCACTTAGATATTTCTTCCACAAGCCCCTCAAACTCAACATGTCCCAAATTAAATGTACTCCATGATCATTTCTCCCCAAGTCTATCCCTCCTCTTAAATTCCATATCTAAAATTCATTGGGACTACTTTCCACCTAGCCAGCCTTTCTAGACCCATTGGTTACCAGTGTCTCCCTCTCCAATCTAATCTACCAGCTGACCATGCCTCTCTCCCCTCCACTGGATTAGTACAGGAGCCTAATAATTGGTTTTCCTGTTGAACTGTGCTCTCACTGAAGCCCACTCTCCATCCCAGTGTGTTCTAGCATGCCTTGGAGAGAAAATCCCTTAAATAGAGCCTCAGTCTCCCAATATACAGTGTGCCACAGAGGGAAGTAGAGGTGGTCACTATTGTGCTTGAGCAATAAGGAACGAGAACTACATTCAGTCACTTTTGCTTAAGAATTCTGCTTGCTTGCTTCTTTTTTGTTTTGTTTTTTTTCTTTAAACGTGTTAATGTATTAGTTTTCTTTTGCTGCCAGGACAAATCAACACAAACTTAGTGGCTTAAAATAACAATAATAATCCCTTTATTATCTTCCATTTACCTGGCTTAGAAATCTGGGCATAACTGGACCCAATGGGGTCCTCCGCCCAAGGCCTCACAAGGCTGGACCCAGGTTGTCAGGGGGGGCTGGGCGCTTCTCTGGAGGCTGTGGGAGGCTGGGCTTCCAGGTTCATTCAGGTTGCTGGCAGAACTCGGTTCCCTGTTGCTGTAGGTTGAGTTGCACTCTTCCTTGCTAGCTGTCAGCCTTGGACCAGTCTTTGCTGGTAAAAGTCACCCACATTCTAGGCTGTGTAAGTGCCCCTCCAGCATCGGGTATCCTCTTAGGCGCCACGGGCCTCTCTCGCCCCAGCTGGAGAAAGTTCACTGCTTGTAAGGCCTCACGTGATTAGGGGCCTCACGTGACGAGAGTGGCACCACCCACATCACCCGGGATGATCTCCAGCTTTGAAACTCTAACTTCTCAGCTGCTAAGTCTCTTTTGCCATTTAATTTAACATTTTCAAAGTTGTAGGCATTAGGGTGCTGACATCTTGGGGGAGCCATTCTGCTTACCACAGTCCATAAAGAACAGAGAGGAACCTGTCCAAGGTAAGATAATTGTGTTTTGTCTAGATATCACTAGGGGCCCTCAATGTGCACCTCAGTGTAAATGGGAGTAATGAGAGGAGCCTTCACACTCTAGAATACAGACATAGCTCAGAGAGATTGCGGGTTCGCTTCCAGACCACTGTGAAGAAGTGAGTCTCACAATAAAGTGAGTCATAATCTTTTTGCTGGTGGAGGGTCTTGCCTTCAATTTGTAAGAAATGCAACACCTGTGAAGTACAATAAAGCGGCGTGCAGTAAAACAAGGTGTGCGTGTATCAGCTTCATTACGCTGGTCAGGACCTGGCTATTCCCTCCTGTGTGGTGCACTTACTCTGCCACATGAACTTCACCTAAACCAGTTTGGAGCTGTTCTGTTGATAACCACAGACCCCCCAACTTTGGACCAATGAATCAGACCCCGTTTGGTCTGTAATATTTCCAATTGGGGCTAAGCTATTGAAAAGGAAAAGTGAAACCTCAGCCTGTCCCAGTCTCTTGCTATCTTTCTGCTTTTTGTGTGTGGTTTTGTTTTTGGGTTTTTTGTGGGTGAATTATCTTCACCCGGGGTTGCCAGTTTGGCAGATCTCAAAGCAATGCCAGAGCCAACTATTTAAATGCAAAGACGTGTTTTCTTTCTCCGTTAAAGTTTCCTTCTGTTGCTCAGTCCCCACTCATGCAATGGAGACCCTGCATTGGGTGCAGCACTCCAGTACTGGCCCTGGAGTGAGGCAGTGGTTCCACCGCAGGAAAGCAAGCTGAGAGGTCCCTGGGCTGCCGCCCCCACCCTCCAGCAAGTGCTGGGCTCTTTGAGTGCTATTGTCCCCATCCTCAACGTTCGGGTCCCAGTCTTTTGGAAGCCATAATATTTCATTTTTCTTGAATGAAATGATTAGAAATGAAATTGCTGAGTTCTATGGAAACTATATATTTAACTTTATTTTAACACTAATTTATTTTGTGTATATTTCTAGGCCTAATGTAGGTATGCATACCTGTTAATCATGCTTTTTTAATATACTATTTCAAACTTTTAGGGAAATACCAGGTTGTTTGTTTTGTGTTTTGTTATTTTTACAAATGGTCCATACCATTTTATACTGTTGCCAGTATTGTAAGAGACTTTCAATTATTCCACACTAAAGGACCGATGCACAAAATCTGTGCAAGAGTTGGCCTTCCTTCTCCTGGCTGCCGCCTTCCCTATGGCCGCCGGCAGGCATCCGGGACCCGGGCTTCCCTCGCAGCCCCGGCTTCATCTGGAAGGACGTCCAGTCTAATTAGCATATTATGCTTTTATTATTATAGATTCTCACCAACTTTGAATTATTAATCTTTTAAATTTTAGTGTTAGTGCTATCTGGGGTTTTAATTTGCATTTGTCTGATGTGTGATGATATTGAACATATCATCATCATGTGCTTATTGCCTTGGTGTATTAACTTTTGTAGGATGTCTATTTAAATCTTTTACTACTTTTAAATTGGATTGTTTTTCTCCTTGCTATGGAGTTGTAAGCATCCTTTATATATTCCATACCCAAGTCCTTTATCAGATATGCTTTTTGAATGTTTTCTATTGTGTGACAGTAAGTCATATGTGTGCTTTCACAGCTGTTAGTGTGTAGGGCATGAACAAGCTTAGAGACATACACCAATTTAGATTTGAGCAAAATACAATAAATATTAGTATAGAAACCAACTGTGAAGTTGACATGTGGATGACAGATCCTAGGGGGAGAACTCTGGCAGCCGATGAGGGGACAGGTCCGGGAGGCAGTCAGCCAATGGGATGACAAGGCACCTTCTGCTCTGCTTCTGTGGGGAACACAGCAAGTAAAGGAAGTCATAACTGTAGCCATGAAGGCAAGCAGGGGGACAGACCATTTCCATGCTGTAGCACATACCGTCTGTTGCTTTGTAGCTACAGGAGACTTGGAGGTAAACCTGAAAATGCACTGGTAACTTTTTCGAATTCAGAGAGCGTATGTTCTGACTTAGGATTTTCTAATTAGCCATCTCGGTCCACGGTGATTAGAATAGCAAGGGGAGTGTTTGTACTGTAGTGTTTGCTGAGGCAGCCTGCGTAGATTCATTATGACAATTTCCTCTCATTTAGAAAATGTGGGAAAAGCAGTTATTTGTGCTCTGCAATTGCCCTTTAAGCATGTCTGAGGGAAAAGCTACTGACATTGTCAGTAAAAATACATTCAGGTGTTTGTTATGCTGAGGATTTCTCACTTTCTGAGCAAGTTAGTTTTATTTATATAATAGTGGTCACAGGCAGTTCTCAGACTTGCCACACTCTTGTGCGGTTTAGAAAAAAATCACAAATAATTATGCAGCATGTAGCTTTTCATCGTTAACGTTCAGATATTAAGAGTGATGTTTTTAAATATAGATACGTACATTTTTAAATCTTTAATTTATTATTGTAAACCTTCGGTGAGGTGGGAATTCTGCACAATAAACTATGGAAAGAAGGAATACTCGTCCTCAC